GGGGGGGCTCTAAGGGCAAAACAGCCCTGCGCCCAGGCTGGCAGGGAATGGCCTCAAAGGAGGACAAAGCAGCATCCCACAACACACACAGCCCATTTCACTCCACACAAGATGCTCATGGTGCCCTGTTCTTTCCTAGTTCTACATGTCCTATCACCTGTTTATTGTGGCCTGTGCTGGAGCTGGTGCCACCGTCATTGCCCTGGTGAGTACCCCAGAACCACCCTAGTGTAGTGTTCCTCCCCTTCTCCCCTCCTACAAATGACAGATTTTCCTTTCAGCTTTTACCACGACCCACATATTCAGCTGTGATTAACTGTCACCTCTGTAAACTTACCGCATGTCTAGTTTGCAGGAAGCACTAGTGACTGCCTTGGCACCAACCGTGCGTGATACAGTGTGGACACTGGAAAGAAGACAGGGTAGCACCCCCTGCTGACTAGTCATCTTGACTTACCGCATTTAGCACTTAGTTCCATGATTTCATTCATGGACAGAGGCTCACGTGAGGCACTACCCATTTCTTTGCAAAGAAATCTTAAGTTCCAAATAGAAAAATGCATATCCATATATAGTTGATCTCCTTATGTGCAGAAATCATATTCTATGGTCAATTAAAACACTAAATTATGTATATGACTCATTGCCTCTAGGAAAAATACAGATTGGGGTCATGAGCCTCTGGTCACATCATTTCTACCAACGTGTCAGTATATCACATCCTTTCACATGTGTTTCAGTGTAAAGACACTTTAGTTAATATATATTGATTCATTACTGCTGAATTCATGGCCAGCAACACTATCACTCATGCCTGGATGAAGTTTCTCTAACACACACATTAATTCTGGAAAGCAATACTACAGCTTTCTTGAGCACTGACTTAGCAAAAACAACAAAGATCACAAAAACATGCAAAAGTGGCACCAAATAGGCCACTTGTTTATGGCATGAAAATTGAACAAATGCAGCACAACATCACCTTAGTCAAACGCAGCTGGGAATGTGCACCTGTCGTAACTCAAATCTTTTACTTCTCTATGAGTGTCCACTCATGGCTGAGAAAGTATATTTTCAAATAAATGTTAGCAAGTGGACAGATTTGTAATCTGCACATAACAAAGATCAACTTATAAGCACACAGGCTCACATGTGTGTATGTGTGTAATTGGGTAGAGGGGCTTGGTTTATGATTTGTAGAAAACTAACTTAAAATTGGTGAACAAGGGGGCGATCTCAGCTGCCTGAGGATGAGCCATCACAGTTTTCCTAAGCATGAAGTCATTCGCCGCTATGAAATCACCAGAGTGACCTGTTCTCTTGGCTGAGCAACAGGCAGGAAGAGGACTAATTGCTGCTGAGCAGGCAGTTTGGGAAAAATGAGGAGAAATAAGGCAACGAGCTTTGCCTTTCTCATGCTGCTGATCCAGCTCTGTATCTTGTTATTCCTGAAACCCATCCAAGTCTTTTTAATAAGCTTACTGAGGGCAGAGCCAAGGAATTACATTGTGTATGTATGACAAGAGTTTGTATGCTAGATGTGCAAATCACCTGCTTTGATTAGAAGTGGGGAGAAATGTCTTAGACTGAGAGCTGGTGCCCGTCCCTGCCCCGGCTCAGAAGTGTCGTGACATCAGCCGTCACTGTTTGTATCTTACTGTCCTGTTTTGTTCTCTTCCACCAGCTGATCTACATGATGGCTACTACATATAACTATGCGGTTTTGAAGTTTAAGAGTCGGGAAGATTGCTGCACTAAGTTCTAAATTGCATAAGGCCAATAAGGAGCTTTAGAGAGCTTGGCTCTGTAGCGTGAATATCACTGACACTCCAGACTAAGCAGAGTCTAGGTTTCTGCAGTTTTGCTACAGTAATTTGTAAATAGCTTCAGTTAACTCACTTTGCATGGTAGACTAAATAATATGACTTACTGTATGTGAATTACAAAAGAATGAGGTCTATTTCCACAGTTTGAAAGGGACTGTTATTTACTGACACTGGTGAGCATCCTTTGAAAAAGACATTTTTTGAACTTAAACCTTGAGCAGTATCTCTAAATGAAGTATTAACACTTTGGCATACCTGCATTTTCCTTTATTTTTGCTTGCTTTATAACCAATGTTGTTGAAATGAAAACAAGTGCTGAAGATGGAAGAGAAGTTTTCACCTAGATTTCCTCTTGTCAGTCTTTCAAGAAAATATTTTGCAAATACACTTTAAATTCAATTTCAAAGGATTTTAATTGTATAGAACATGGTTGGTTCATTACAAAATAAATGCTCCTTCAAATAGACCAGATAAAGATTTGGAAAAAGAGGAGGATGTCACACATTTGATTTTTCTGAAAAAAATATTTTTTAAATTGTCTTAATGGGTAGTAACTGTTTCCTCATAGCTAGGTTCTCAAACTGCACATAAGATTTTAATGGGAAGAGAAGTTGGGTCCAGATCTGAAGGTCTCAAATATGTTGAGAAGAAAGTATGAAATTTAAGGAAATTGAGCTATAGAGTTGTTTTGCAGGCAATAGGAAACACATGGGAAGGATGTGTATACCACATCCACTGTAAAGAATGAGAAAGATTTTTATGTGAAAGAGATTTGCAGGAAATGAGATAATGGCAATTATTACAGAAGAATACAGTTTCATTGCTAAAAATCTGTCAACAGAGAGACTACATACTTTCCTTAGTTCCAAATTTTGACCTTCACATTCATTTAATTTTTTCCATGTTAAATATATAGTTCTAAAACTGTTTACTCAAAATAAACATTTTTTCACACTTTTAGGCCTTTGGGGGCATTTTTTATGCACAGATAGAATGGGTCTTCACCCTACATTTTTTAACGTAAAAACGATGTGTTTCTGAACTTCTGCATAAGTCTTTAAAAATTATTTTGAAAGTGGTAAAAAGCACCATCTTATATTTCATTTTTACTTCTTAACAATAACTTTGGCCATTTTATTCCCAAGTTCATTATATTTGCATACTAACTTTTCTTCAGCCTCTTAATATGAAGCAAGCTAGTAGAGCATGCTCTGTGCCTGGCAGCTCTGCTAGCAGAAGAGTATTAATAGTGAATAACCCTTGCCCCCTGCAGTTGGTCTGTCTAATCTGACTAGCAGCTCGCTTTGCCTTCTTCTCACATGCTCACTAGCCATCATGCTCACCCTTCTTTTCCAGATCCACTTCCTCATGATACTGTCTTCTAACTGGGCTTACTTAAAGGATGCGAGCAAAATGCAGGCTTACCAGGATATCAAAGCAAAGGAAGAACAGGAACTGCAAGATATCCAGTCTCGGTCAAAAGAACAACTCAATTCTTACACATAAATGTTTGCCAGAGTGTGTCAGCCGACGAATTTACAGCTCTGACAAATCATCAGACAGCTGCTCTGCAGTACAGATGTGTATCCCACCAAACAAACTAACGTAGACGTACCAACATTTCACTGTCTGTCTCAAGCTGCTGGGATGTATCTCTAGGAAAACCTTCCAGTGGGTCATTTTTTTTCTTTAGAATATTGGAGGTTTCACGTCAGCCATTTTAAAAGGCAACACTTTGACAAAATAACCGTTCATTTTTTTGGAAATTTGTAGCATGTGCGCTTATTGCTAGAGCAGTTCTAACAGTCCATGGAATTACATCATACTCCTTGATAGGGACCTATGGAGTGCCAGTATCAAAGGATGTGACCATAGATTTACATACGCTACCTGTCCTCAAATGTTATTAAAACAGAATTGGTCTGAAGTTCATTACTGACAGTGAATCTATTAAGTTTTGCCTCATCGAAGATAAAGTGATTTTTTTAACTGACTTAAAAAAAATTAGCACCTACAAAGTCATTAATTTCCAGAGCCAATCAGAAATCTTTTCTTTTTTAGTAATGCAAAAATGAGCTACAATTCTGCTAAACGTACCAATGCAGAAGCTGGGTTCTGACTCAAGCTCTACAGAATAAGTTTTATAACAGATTTCATTTTAGCAAAGTGACCCAATGATCATCATTCTTCTTGGGGAAACAAATGTCAGCTCTGCCTTAGTATTTGCTTTAAATTTCTAAGAATTTATATTATAACCAGAAACTCTTCACAGAATTTTGTTCCATAAATACTTTTCTTAATTGCCAAGTGTTACCTTGTTAAAATGACCACCATTCTAAAACATTTTAAGTGGTTTGAATAATGAGTTTACAGTTTCTTAACTATCTAAAACCTAACTGCAAATTGACCACAGACCTCTGACCTCCAACTTTTATAGACTTTAATACATAAGTAATTTAAACTAGGGTTGGTATTTATTTCATTTTATCTAAATCTTAATTTCCTGGAATAATAATGTTTGATGTTCAGCAAGAAAACTGCTGTTTAAGTTTAAGCCATTTTCAAAAGAAACTTGCCTTCTGAATCATTGTGTTCCAGAACATTAAGAGACTATAGGTACTGGGTATTAGTGATGGTAAGCTTTGTGTTGTTCTTTCTGAAATGATCCATATAACTGTGGGGTGCATCAGTGCTTTTCAAAGGGGCTGCATACTTATAGGGTTAACTATGTATATTCATGTTAAGAGTTAACTTGTGGTTTGGCTGTTTCCTGGATTTTAAAACATATACATGTGCAGAAATGTATTCAAATGAAAGGAAGCATACCTTTATCAAGATGCTATTAAAATTGAACATCAAGTATAATATTTCATTTGGATTATTTTTTTTTGGGGTTAATGCCTAAAAATGCCTATTTGGATTCTTTTTCATTGGGGGAAGCTCTCTTCTGTGTAGAACAGTTGTTCCAAGATAGCTTAGTGTTTCATTTTCCTGTTGCATGACAGACTTCAACATTTTTTCCAGCAGTGGGGGTGCTGTTAGAGTCCAGTGTTCTAGAAGAGGCAGTGTCTAAATCCTAATTTTACTTTTCTAATTCTGGTAGCTATTGCCAGGAACTTTTGAAAGTTTTGTTGGAGTAGTCTAATATTTTTTATGTAAAGAGCATTAAATTTTGCTATGTATAAATTTTTGTAACCTAACAGTGAATCAATATTTTCTATTCAGTGCCAAGGGCTTCCTGTAGTTCTATTCAAGTGTTACAATAAATATTTGTAGATAATAGTCAATACTTGTGTATGCTTATTTTAAATATCTATTTAGGTGGAAATAGTTGTGGATGTACTAAGAGTAATGAAATAAAATTATAGCTTCACTCGCTTGCCTTTTTACCGTACATAAATCCTATCTTTCTCTGTTCTCAGTATGGTGTCATTTTTAATTTTAAGTATTAAGATTTCACATTGTGTAGAAATGCAGTACATGAGAGACTGCATGTTCTATTTCTCACAAAAATCTATTTTCAGCAAGAGCAATTTGAAGAACTACTGCAATCCACTGGCCTGTATTTTATATAAAACGTCACTAGCATTTTACAGATCTGTGAAAAGCACATGATTGTCATGACTAGTTTCTCTAATGAAACGATCTATCGACAGGATTAACACACAGCTTACCCTTGGGCAAAGCAGCAATAACTGGGGAGGCTTAATAAAAGGGCCTGTATGTTGTTGGCTCATATTCAAACCTGAAGTCTGTAAGTCTAGTGGAAGAAAATGTATTTAGGAATGTAATGAAATCTAGTACTTACAATTATTCTCTGAAGCAGCAGACCTAAATTTGTCACTTGGGATTTCACTCTGTAATTTGAAAAACTACTGTCAGCATGATTATGCATTTGGTTTTCAACATTTGACCTTTCTTATAGAAGGGTCCCAGCCTTTGTCGTTATGGACACAATGACATCTCTAAATGAGGTGCTGACTCTGGATCATTACCCTTCATTCACATACCACAGGAGAATAAGCAGGAGCCCAAGGGCCAAGAGACTTGTCACAGTGTTTACTACCTTCTGCATAGGCAGCATTTTGTGCCATTAGATAAGCCACATGAACCTCCTGAATAAATTCTAAATAATGGTTCTGCAAAATCACAAGCAGTCTTAATCACTGACAGTAATCCTGCCACCAAACGCAGGAAACTTTGGAAAGCAGAGATGTTTCCGGTTACCCCTTGTAAAACTTTTAGGATAGGAAAATAAATGAGTTATGAGAAGAGCCTACTTGTTTAAAAACCAACAAAGTCCATTCATTAAGACAGAGTACACAAAGTTGTCAGAAAAAAATGATGCGGGGATATGGGAGGTGTTGGAGGGGAGTGCGCATGGATTTGATCAAAACACCTTACATGCATGTATGAAATTCTCAATAAAGTTTTCTTCAAAGTTAAAAAAAAATAAAGGTCAAGGATTCCACAGTAAAGATGTTGGGTTACCAAATGCCAGACTGGGTAACTTATAAAGAAATCAATTTCTCACAGTCCTGGAAGTTTTGGGGAGTCCAAGATCAAGGTGCTGGCAGGCTCAGTGATTCGTGAGGTGTGTGACTTGGCTTTGGAAGTTCTTGGTATATCTTCTAAAGAGGAAGAATGCTGTCTCCCCAAATGGCAAAAAGCAAAAGGGCCTAGAATTTCCTTTAGTCCTGGATCCTACTCAGGAGGGTTCTGTCTTCTAAACCACCTCCTCAAGGCCCATCTCTTAACACCATCATATCAAGATGTAAGTTCCAACATATCAGGTGGGATCCACACATTTAAGCCATAGCAGATGTCAAAAGGATTATTTCTAGGGGTTGGAATGGAACAATTTGTGTTCATATGCTGGGAGGATAGCCTCCTGTTTTACAGGCAAACACCAACTCTGGAGAGGGAGGTGTGCAGCTTAACCTTTGTAAATGCAGGCCTAAAGTCTAAAAATAAGTTTTCAAATAGGTATGACTAAAGACAAAAATGGGGAAAGGGGGGACAAAAAGTTCATTTTCGTGTAATGACTAAGAAATTCTATGGCTAAAGAAGGGATCTCACTTGACTTAGTTATTCTTGTTTCATACAGCGTGGTACCAACTTCAAATGTTAAAAGAGAAAATCACACATTGGGCTATAAAGATGGCTCAGCAATTAAGAGCACATATTGTTCCTCCAGACAAACCAAGATTCGATCCAAGCACCCATGTCTGGTGCTGTAACTCCAGTTCCAGGGGATCCAACATCTCTGGCCTCCATGGGCACCCACACAGATGTGCACAAACCCACAGACATATACACATAATTAAAAATAAGGGCTGGAGAGATGCAGTTAAGAGCACTTGTTGCTTTCCAGAGGACCCGAGTTCAATTCCCAGCAAACATGTCAAGCAGCTCACAACTGCTGGTAACTCCAGATCCTGAGGATCTCACACCTTTGGCCTCCATGGGAGCCAGGACTCAAGTGCACATGGACACACACACACACACATACACATACACACACACACACACACACACAATAATTTTTAAAAAATCTTTAAAAATAAATAAATCAGGGGGCTGGAGAGACAATTCAGTAATTAAGAGCACTGGCTGTTCTTGCGTAGAACCTGGGTTTGGTTCCCAACACCCACGTGGTGGCTAACAACTGTCTATAACTCCAGTTCCAGGGCATCCTAAACTTCATCTGGCCTCCGTGGGCATTGCATGCATGTGGTGCACTTATATACATACAGACAAAACACTCAAACACATAAAATTTTAAAATATAAAAATTAAAAAATAATAAAAGAGCTAGGCGTGGTGGCACAAGCATTTAATCCCAGCACTTGAGAGCAGGCGGATCTCAGTGATTTCAAGGCCAGTCTGTTCTACATAGCAAGTTCCAGACCAGCTGGGGCTACAGGGAGACCCTGTCTCAAAAAGACAAAAAGACAAAAAATAAATACAATAAAAATCACACTAGATTACACAAAATTTTTATTAACAATTATGATTAAAGAGAAACAAAATAACACATTTCTTGACTTTATGTTGTATGTAAGCTGTACAGATAACGTGATTACCACATGTCATCTGGGTCTTCATGAGAAAGGCTGGAGAAATAAAGAAAAGATAAAAATTGGATATTTAAATAATTCATGTCAAGTTTCAGATCTTCATAATGTTCTCATTCTTTGTTGGTGGGGTTTCTGCCCTTCTAATTCTTATTAGGTTCAGTTTCACAAGTTAAATCACATGGACTTTTTGGAAGCCATTAACTTTTTTTTTGGAGACAAGGTTTCATGTATCCCAGGCTGGCCTCTAAAACTCACTAAGGATGACCTTGACTTATCTTCCTACATCAACCTGAGTACTAGAATTACAGGCATGTACCAAAATGCCTGGTTTATGGCAGTGTTAGGAACTGAACCCAAGGCTTCATGCATACTAGGTAAATACTGCACTAACCAAGCTATATCCCTAGCCTTTTGAAAATTTATTTTTTGTGTATTTGTTGAGACAAAGTCTCATTATGTAGCCCAAGTTAGCCTTAAACTCTTGATTTTCCTGACTCACTCTCCTAGGTGCTGGAATTATAGGAATATGCAAATATGTTCAGCTTAAGTCAGTAATTTTCACTGCTTCAATAATTTCTTAAAGGCAACCTCAAATATCTGATCATTTTTCTTCGCTGACAAAATAAGCAGTAACAGTTGACCTGAGGAACATGGTATTTGTGGGAAACCATACCTTTTATCCTTGTCACTAGGTGCTAGCGTGTCCGCTAGTGAGCATTCTTTGCCTGATTCTTTCGAGCTCTAACACAGGATGGAGAAAGAATTTTGAAATAAGTTAATTTTCTGAAACACATAGGTTTTCTACATTATTGATCTCAGCCAGAAGGCCAAGAATCAGCACATGTTGATTTCTCCTCTAGCTAATTTGGAAATATACATGTAATATGAGTCAAAAGGGCTGAAGAGATGGCTCAGTGGTTAAGAACACTGGTTGTTCTTGCAGAAGACCTGGGTTCGAATCCCAGCACCCACATGGCAGCTAACAACTGTCTATAACTCCAGTTCCAGGGGATCCGAGAGCCTCTTCTGTCCTCCGCTGGCATTGCATGACATGGATGCACTTACGTACATGCAGGCAATACACACATACACATAAAGTAAAAACAGTAAAATTAAAAAAAAAACGTGAGTCAAATAAAAGGCCTTTTAAGCATGACATGTAGAAAGTACATCCAAATAAACTGTAGCATGCATTTTCACACCCGTAATTCAGACATATAAAAAGTGTCTTCCAAGGAATTCACTACTCAATGATGCATCACTACTGCTTCTTTTCAAACAAGATGTCCAAACCTGCACAGACTGACAAATCTGAAGCTCCACAATGCTGTACCTAAGCCCAAACTATGAAATCTTGTCAACAGTAATATAGTTAAATGATGCAAGGTTCTATTTCAAGTATGAATTTTCTATACTTTCAACCTTTTTGTCTTCGATAGAGAAGACAGAATCCCATGCCAAGATACTGGAATAACCCCCCTTGGTGACTGCCCTCTCCCTCTGCCTCCCTCAGCTTGCTGTCCATACCAAGGGTACCTTATCTGCACTTGTCTGCTCCCCTTCCTGCTGGATGATTCTCATGTATTTCTCTAAAGGATTTTCACCATGTGTCGATTTGTCTCTCTTTTCTTGAGCACTTTTTTCTAATTCTTCCATTTCAATCTTCAGTGATTCTTTAATCATCCTCTACAAAAGGCCAATGCCCAAATAAATATATAAATAGTTCTTAAAAGCTTCTCAGTGTTTAAAAATCATTCTAAAACAATCCTTATCCTAAAAGCACAACTTGCAAGACAGAGAAGTGGGTGTGTATGTTTTTAAATTGAAACAGTCACTATATCAGACAAGCATGTCATCCCAAGGAAGGAAGGCATTAATTTGCCTCAGGTGTCCTGTGCTTTCAGACCAAGTTAACCAGGAACCCAAGGAACACTTCTAAAGTATGTTAAGTGGCCAGAGTAATCAATCCATCTGCCAAGCACTAAAGCTGTAAAGGCAAGAGAACTCAACAAAGGAGGATGGCAGTGTGTGCCTGGCAGCATGTCCTCTCCCCTGGCTGTCCCAGGCCCAGTTAGAGGCCTTCCAGAGGTGTCCAATGGAGAACGCAGTACAGAGACTGAAGTCCCACATCTTACCCTCTCATGCTCCAGTTTTTCCAGTTCTCTTCTCTCCCTCTCTAGTGCTTCATGCCGTTCATTCTGCCTTTGCTCTTCTCTTTGCCTTCGCTCTCTCACGTGGAGTTCCCACAACTGTTCTTCGTTCATTTGTTCTCCAGTTTGGCTTGGATCAGCACCTAATAGAATAGAAAAGTGAGAAGCTTTTTTCAGTATCACATTTTTCAAAGGAATGCAGAACTTGTTTGCGGGAGGGCCACCTGGTTTTGCACTGATTCTAGTGACCTGCTCCAAGCTGCTGCTCCGTTTTTACTGACTTCCAGCACACAAACCAACCCGTAGCAATGCAGGTCAGCTTTTACTTTCCTGAGACTAATACAAGTCACTCACTACAAATGACCCCAACTGTCCCTCCTCTATGCCATGCCATCCTCACTCACCTCTTCCCTCTCTCCTTCAACCTTGCCATAGCAAGTCCTGCATTTCTGTCATCCCATTTGACTACAATCCATCCCTCCCCTATCTTTGTGACCTTCACCAAATCCTTAGCCCCTATTTATTTCTCTAGCAATTTCCCTTTTCTTCCTCCTAAAAAGCCGCTCGACTCCCTCCTATCCCAAACAGAAGCAAACTCCCCTCACTCCCTCAACCCGTGCCACCACTCTAGCTATGTCACCATTATTCAAATTTCTCTGCAGTGATGGCGGTCCTTCCTAGAGGCTTAGTGATCACACCAAACCCTGATCATCCCCATGTCCTTCTTCAGTACCAACCACTCCTCCTGGGCTTCCTGTCACCAGCACGGGGAAATTCCACAATGACAGCTTCCTCCCAAAACTTATGGTGGCCCTTTAATCATCTTTCTCTAGGTCTGGCAAGGTGACACAGAACTATAGTACTATCAACTCAAGAGGATTAGGTAGGATTGGTTGAACCCACAAGTTCAAGGGCAGCCCTGGATTACACAGTCTGTCCTACATCCACTAGGTCATTAGGGCTTGCATGTTTGAGCAGATCATTTTGCTACTGCAGAGACAGTGCTCTACGGTTCGCTGGACAACTGAATAACCAAAGCAGTGTTCTCCCTAATGTCTGTCTCACCTCTGGGTAGTGCACTGTCACCAGCACTAGGTACTTCCTATCTACATACCATGGGTTTGTTGTCTAATGATGGCTCTTCTTTGACAAAGTGAAAACCATCAGCAGCCTAGGATAGAAAAATGTGCCCTTTTCTTTCCAAACTACCCACCCTACTATTGTGTGGAAATAGTATGTGCTTATCTACCCACTCATAGCCCCTGACTATGGCCCTATTCTCCTAGCTTGGGTCTTCATTGACTACTTAACCTGAGGCATACCCTGCCTCTCCACAAAGCCTGCATTGCTACAAAACTCAGCTTAAATGCTACCTCCTCTGGGAGGTCCTCCTTACCCCTCAAGTGGTAAGTGCTCCAGTAATTTATTTGCCAGTATCTTATACTTTCTATCTCAAAAACCATGTGTGATTATTTTTCCCACTTCTATTTCTTCTGAGAAAGACCCAGGTTTTAATTACTTGACTGTTCCCTTTTGGTCTTGGCACAGGTCTCTACCCGTCAAAGGTTTAATTAAGTCCCAGTTCCACAGATGAGGCTGCTGGCTGTTCTCTTTCAGCTGTCTGGCCTATGACCTACATTTTTTTTTTTACCCAAGCAATGCCAATAAGCAAAAAAGCCACAGGTTCAAAAGAGGTCTTCAGAGCTTTGTGCTATGCCTTGTCTTGAGTGGACAGCAGGCCAGAGTTAGTTTGATGAGCAAGAGAAAAGCAGCAGAGAATTCCCAGTCTCCGCCAACCCCTATGAAATTAAAATAGCTGAGGGTGCTGGCACTCACTTCCACAGGCACAACTGCCCGTCCGCCTTGCTAGTGGAGGAGGGGTTAGTTCAAACAAACGTCCTCCCAGGGAACAGTGGGCACTGCGATCACAGAAGGGAATGCTGTTCTTGGTGAGGGCAGAAGGGGAGAAAAAAGAAAACAGAGGTGGTAGAAAGCAGCGGAGGATAAAAAGGGGGACGGGGTGGGACGTGGAAGGAGGGGGAGGTGGCAGTGGCATCTAGAACCCTTTCTGGACACAAGAACCCAGATCAGAAACATCTATACTGAGCACTTCAAGGACACCATCCAGAACCCAGATCAGAAACATCTATACTGAGCACTTCAAGGACACCATCCAGAACCCAGATCAGAAACATCTATACTGAGCACTTCAAGGACACCATCCAGAACCCAGATCAGAAACATCTATACTGAGCACTTCAAGGACACCATCCAGAACCCAGATCAGAAACATCTATACTGAGTACTTCAAGGACACCACATTTCGGCCCTTTTCATTGTCTTCGTACCCAGATAAAGGGGCAAAGTGGTAAAAATATGGGAATTTCTCCATGACCAAAACATGCTGCTTACTAATTATTTCAAAAGCCATGACTGTAGTCTACAGAACCTCTCAAGGCAGGACATCTAGCTAGTCATTGCTTGCCCTTTGCTATTATTTTGGCTCCTTCCCTCAGGTCTGTGGACATGGCCAATGCACGCACTTCTCTACAGCTGAGGCAGCACCTCCCACCTGAGGGCCTCAGCGATGGCCTGCTGAACTCTTGACTTGCCCCCACATCCTTGACTCTCCGTGAAGGCAGGAGCTGTGTTTGGCTCACTGCTTAGACATGGCCCCTAGGCAAGTGCTCAGTAGAGAGAATGTTCTTGATCAGGTCTAGCTGAGTCATTGCCTTCCAAAGTATATTTACTCAGAAGTGAGTAAATCCAACCGGCCTTCTCAAAATCCCTTGTTTCTTTCAGCAGTTCCTCATCTTCCTGAGTGCTGTGGTTTAAATGAGGGGAGCACTAAGGAGAAGCTTTCAGTGTGTTAGGGGTGAGGGTGATGATGATGATGATGCCGCCCTAGGTTTGGGTAACACTAAGAGGTGGCTTTACTTAGATATTTCCTTCTGTGTTTGAAGCTTAAAACCCTCTAGTCCAAGAAGAATAGGGCCTGGCTGATGGCTGCAGCTGGAACAAAGCACAAGCCTTCCCTCACCTGCTCCCTTATCCCTCCATCACCCGACGGGGTTGGGGGGGGAGGAAGTTGCAGAAGAGAAAAGTAGGGGCCAGGCCCTGAACAGTGACCAGTTTCCCTCCAATGACAATATACCAGGATCATCCACTTTCGGAAGACTGAGCTATAAGGTTTTTTCGGTCTTAATTTAAAATAGAAAGGAAGCAAGTAAGAATAAATATTAAATTCTATTAAAGATACACAGTGGGAATTGACAATTATTTCAGGGTTTTACCACAATATCCCAAGATGACAAGGCTCCTATGGAGTAGTTTCTGCTGAAGAGTCTCAGGGAAAAGTATAATTACTCTGCTAGACTCTGAACAAGTAAACATTTTCTTTTAAATATTTCATTTATTATTTTTATTTTATGTGTATGAGTGTATTGCCTGCATGTATGTGAGTGCACCACTGTTGTGCAATGCCAAGGAGGTCAGACGATGGCTTCGGATTCCCCTGGAACTGGAGTTAAGGACAGTTCGTAGCCAGCATGTGGGTGCTGGGACTTGAATCCAGGTCCTCTGCAAGAGCAGTCAGTGCTCTTAACCGCTGTACTCCAGCCGCAAGTAAACATTTTTTAAAAGACTATATGAGAAGTCGTCCCTCAGAGGTTTTCCTCAGCAGTTTTCACATGTTCACACACGAGTTCCTTTGGTAATGTCATTAACAATGGTAAGATCACAAGCCCAAGCCTCTGAATAATTTATGTTTATAAAAGCCCTTTGAGGTCAGCGAGATGGCTCAGTCAGTAAAGGCACTTTCCACCAAGGCTAAGGACCTGAGTTTGATTCCTGGGACCAATATGGTAGAAGGAGAGAACCGAGAACCAAATCCCGTAACTGTCCTCTCACCTCCACACACATGCAAGCATGCACACACACACACACACACACACACACACACACACACACACACACAGAGAGAGAGACACACTCAAACAAATAAATGTAATATATCACACACACACACACATACACACACACATACACACACCTGCAAGGGTCACCTATAACTTGACTCAGGAGAACCAGGGCTTAGGACTGCATCTATCTGAAGTGGCCTGATTACCTGGGCACTAGCCTCTGACTGAGACAAGGATTTGGGCCCTGGTTCCCCAAAGTTCCCAACATGGCCTGGCCCTGTAGCCAATGGCCTAGATGAGACCAACAGTCATTTTTATCTGTTAACTGGCCTTAGTAACAGCAGCAAGTGAAGGGAGGGCACTGTAATGGAGGGGATCTAAGCAGAGAACCTGGAAACTGCAGCAAGAGAAAGTGGAGGAGCTTTCCGACAGAGTCTCAGTTTAACCAGTGGCCAAGGCGTTCAAGGTATACTTACACTTTAAAGAATTATATTTGTTTACGAAACTGGATTTCTACTCAACAGGAAAATCAATCCAGTAACAGAAGACAATTCATTTGGCTTGCTGATAAATCATCTGACTTCAATTTAAATATCAATGATTTACAGCCAGTCAAAATTCCAACACAGATGGGTCAGGGGCTCACTATGCCCACTCCCAGCCTGAGCACTTTGGGCAGCTGAAGCTTGCTAGGGTAGGGAGAGTCAAACTTTCTTCAGGGAAGTGGCTCCTGGTTGATCGCCATGCCCTAACAGATGACCCTACACTCATGCACATATGTGCAGCCCTGATTGGACTGTGTGGGCTATGAAAAGTGGACATAAAGCTGGGAGGGAGACATAGCAGGAGCAGTGTGGGATGCATTGGAGGGGGAGCAAGCAGTAGATATGATCAAAATATATTGTATACATGTATGAAATTCTCAAAGAATGAATAGAAAAATAAATATCAATGATTTAACAGTCCTATTAACAAGCGAGTTAAAAACACTTCACAAACTTTACTAAGCTTTTTCATTTAACTGTTTAGATTTGACAATGAAGTCTGCAGGGCCAAGAAAAGAGCCTCAGATCCTGCATCCTTATCATACTTCTGAAGGGGGCCACAGGGTGATACAGGCCAAGGCAAGGTCATGGGCAGGACACCACTTTCTGGACTCTCATTTTAATTTTTTGTGTGCATATGCATGCGTGTGCACATGTGTACATGCACGCAGAGGCCAAGGCTGAGGTCTGGTGTCTTTCTCACTCTCAATCTTATTTATTGTTAAAAATTTTATTATTTTCATTTTATGTGTATGAGTGTATTGCCTGCATGTGTGTAAGTGCTCTTAACCACTGACCGATCTTTCCAGCCCCACGCCCTTGACCTTTTTATTTATTTATTTGGTTCTTTGAGACAGAGTTTCCCTGTAGCCTCAGCTGGCCTTGATCTCAGAGAACTGCCTGCCTCTGCCTCTAGTGCTGGGATTAAAGGCAAAGGCATAATAAGCCAACACACTTGGCCCTCCACCTTATTTTTTGAGACAGGGTCTATCACAGAACCTGAGGCTCACTGATCTGGCTAGACTGGTTGAACTAGGCCCCTGGGGAAGCTCCTGGTTCCACGCCCCTCCCTGGATTACAAGTATACCACTGAGCAAACAGCATGTTTGTGTGGGTACCCCTTAGCAACTGAGTCACCTCCCCAACCCCCATTTGAATATTCTGTCAGTTCCATTCTAGCACTGAAGATAAGTGTGAACAATCAATGGAATAGGTGTAGTGTAAAGAAAGTAATACCGGGCTGGAGACATCGTTCAGCAGTTAAAAACACTGGTTGTTCTTCCAGAAAACCTGGGTTCGAATACTAGCACCCATATGGCAGCTAACAACTGTCCGTAACTCCAGTCCCAGGGGATCCTACAGTCTCTTCTGCCCTCCGTGGGCATTGCACAACATGGGAGCACTTACCTACATGCAAGCAATATGCACATATACATAAAATAAAAATAGTAAATAATATATATATTTTTTATGTGTATGAGTATTGCCTGCATGTATGTGAGTGCACCCGTGTTGTGCATTGCCGCAGGTCAGAAGAGGGCTTCAGATTCCCCTGGAACTGGAGTTAAGGCGGTTCATAGCCGCCATGTGGGTGCTAGGACTCAAACCCAGGTCCTCTGCAAGAGCAGTCAGTGCTGTTAACTGCTGAGCCAACAAAGAAAATAATGCCTTCATATTCCATTGAAAAGAAAAAGAATGAAAAATTACTCATTTTAAATTGAAGTAAACCGAAAAATTAGGGATTTATTTAAAGCCTTAGTTTTTACTTGGGAACTATGGGTCACACTGAAACTTTTAAAGGAAACTCAGACACAATCTAAAAATCTTTGCAACAGAAAAATGAATCGAGGGCTGGTGAGATGGTTCAGTGAGTAAAGGTGACTTCCATTAAGCTAGAGGACCCGAGTTCAATCCCTAGGACCCACATGTGCACCCCCCACACACAGACAGACACGCATGCACTCACGCACGCACGCCCACACAAAACCTAACATGTATACTCAAACTTACACCTGAAAGATGGTTCAGGTTCCTCATTATCATCCACAGACTGCCTGTCGGGCATGTTTGAAAATTTACTTCAGTCTTGAGTTTCAGCATGTCTCTGATAAAGACTGGATTGGAAGAAGAAAATACATGAATAGGAAGTGTTAGTAACTAGGAGAACAGGGGACAAAAAGTTTTTTTGGTTGTATTGTGGAGGTGGAAAGCTTTTGCAATGTGATGGTAATTAAGAACTTTGCAGCAGGGAAAACTCAGAGACAGGTATGGGGAGGTGAGCAGGAGTCTCCCCATCCTGACCCTGTGGTTGCCCAGGATGGAAGTCTTTGTTTCCCGAAGTTTTCCCATTCCTGTAGCCTTTGTGGCCATGTTCCGTTGCTTAATGATCACATGCACCTTTTACTTAATTGTCACCTATGTGCTGTTTTGCCTTTTGTTTGCATTTCCCCACACAGGAGTATAAAAGCCCCCCAAAACTCGAGCAAGGGGTCTGACTCCTGTATTTGTGGGGTCAGTCCCACTAGCACCAAATTAAACTTCCTCTCTTTACCTGACTTCGGCTGTTGGTCTCTGACTTTTCCATAACAGTTGTTGAAAATAATTTACAAAAATTTTGTTTTTTGAGACAGGTTTTCTGTGGTTAGCCTAGAACTCATCATATAGCCCAGGCTGGTGTCAAACTCATGGAAATCCTCCTGTCTCAGCCTCCTGAGATTATAGGTATGAGTCATTATGCCTGGTTACTGAAATCATTTGTCTTTGGCTTCTAAAGAATGGTTCTAGATCTGAGGTTGTGACAAGTGCTACTTAAGCATGCAGGACATCCTAATTCCATTTCAACACCACATTTAAAAAAATATGGGGGCTGGAGAGATGGCTCAGCAGTTAAGAGCACTGACTGCTCTTGCAGAGGACCTGGGTTCGATTCCCAGCACCCACATGGCAGCTACGAACCATCCTTAACTCCAGTTCCAGGGGAATCCGAAGCCCTCTTCTGACCTCCGTGGCATTGCACGACAAGGGTGCACTCACATACATGCAGGCAATACACTCATACACATAAAATAAAAATAATAAAAAAGAAAAGAAAAAAAAACAAAGAAGAGGAAGAGTGGCCCCAGGGGACTCCATGCACTCCACTCTTCTCTCACAACTAATCCATGTTTACTCAGCAGGGTCGCACCTCCTGTGGGAAAGTAGACCTTATTAACCAAGAAGGCTGTGCTCTCAAGGAGAGTCCTCCTTAGTTTTCCAGTAACCAAAAAGCATTTTCCAAAAGACAAATTCCTAACATATATGACAGAGTACATGAAATCCAGTGGGGCAGGAGCTCTAAGAAGGGTGCATATAGGGGAGGGGGTGTAAATATGATCAAAATACATTGTAAGAAATTTGCAAAAATTCAATTTAAAAAAAGCACAAAGCAGTTGAAGGTGCAGTCCCACAAGTCCAACTCGGCGTCAAAGTGTGCTAAGTCGACAGACTGTGGGTCTTGACACTCCTTTTGGTTTTCTCATAGGAAAATACAATAAAAGCTGGGCATGCACATGTATGTCTGTAATCAATCTCAGCATTCATAAGGCAGAGGCAGGAGGGCGGCTGAGGTTTGAGGCCACCCTGGGCAACACAGTCAATGAGACTGTCTGAAAACCAAACAAATATAATATAAAAATATTAAAATATGTAAGGGTCCTAGGGCCATGATAGGCAAATGTAGCATTTTTTAAGTCTGTAAAGGAGGCCTACATAAACATCAGGTGCCCAGCTGGAGCCCAGAAGTAGGAATTCCAAATCTCCTGCTGTGGATAGAGTCCTGCCTCTGAATCACAGCCCAAGAGACTCACTGGCCTAGTTTCTAAAAACATCCACTTCTTCCTGCTTCAATGATCATAGTCTAGAACTCACTATTCAGAATTTATTTCAATGACACACAAATTGAAACCTTACTTGTTTATATTTAAATGTGAGAACATTTTTAAAATAACATTAAAAAAATTTTCATTTATGTTTATGTGTATGAGTGTTTTGCCTGCATGTATTTAAGTGCACCCATTTAATGCAATGCCTGTAGAGGCCAGAACACGGCGTCAGATACCCTTGAAGTGGAGTTTCAGGTGGTTGTTAGCTGCTGTGTGGGTGCTGGGATCCAAACCCAGGTCCCCTGTAAGAGCAGCAAAAGTGCTCTAACTGGGCCGTCTTTCTGACTCCTAAAACAACTTTTTAATGATGTGTGAAATTTCTCCAACTTTAAAAATGAGCCCAGTTTTCTTACTTTGACATAGTTAATATACATCTGTCTTTAAAAAAATTTATTTTTAATTATGTGTAGTATGTGTGTATGGGGGGTGGGTAATGTGCACGTGAGTGCAGTGCCCGAGGAGACGAGAGGAGGAGCTGGAGTTAAAGGAGTTCTGAGATGGCCAACATGCGTGCTGGAAACTGAACTCAGGTACTTTGCAAAAGCAGTATGTGCTCTTAACCAGTGAGCCATCTCTCCAGCCCACATTTGTCTATCTTTATGAACCAAATCCATTTTCAAACCTATGAAGATGTTTCTTTACACAATATTACATTCTCCCTCATAATTCAGATGACTTTCAAAGATCAGGAACGATTTTAGAGTCTCACTGTAAATAGAGACCGCTACACGATCTTTGATATCGCCTAAAAATGGCCAAAGGAATAAAGGTCAATATAGCAGATAATAGGATTCAACAGAAGCCAATGAAAAAAACACTTACTGGGCATTCTGCTCTGGAGCACTGGAGAAGGAAGGACCAGAGAAGCTGTGCCTGGATGCAACAGGTGATGGCTGGACTGTTGTTCTGTCAGGACAAGAACTGGAGGAAGCACCATGACAAGGGCTAGAAGAAGCAGCGTATGACCTGCCCAAACCTGTGAGGTACAAGGAATCAGGACAAGGATATTACAAGTTTTCACGGGACCTGGATTTGGTTCCCAGCAGCCACATGGTGGCCAGTAACCATCTATAACTTCAGTTCCAGTGGTCCTGATGCCCTCTTCTAGCTGCTATGGGCATTGCATGACACAGGTGTGCTTATATACATGCAGGTCGCAAAATATCTGTACACATAAAATAAAAATACATTAATAAAAAACTATTAATTTAAAAATAAATCCTGTTTTCCTTGTAAACAGCCAAGCATGATGTATGAAATCCACAAAGGATGAATGATTCAGGCACCTAAATTAAACTGTGGAGGTAATACAACATACACAAAACTAACCAACAGAAAGAGAAAGGCCATGTTGCACACTGAACATCTCTGTGTGCTAAGGATGCACTAGACCTTACCACCTTTTATCAGCCTGTGACATGAACTAAGCTACCACTGTTCACCAGGATATAGGATAAAAGCAGCCACCACTGAAACAGGCTCCCCGAGGCTGACTGCTCCCTATGCTGCCCAACTGCAAAGTGTCTCCAAACCCTGTGGATAGTGGCTTACCTTCCAGATACATTTCCTTATCAAGGCTTCTTCTTGATTTTGGATGGGGCGTGGATGACAGGCATGTAGAGGAACTTCTGTACGGTGTCTGTGGAGCCATATTGCCCGTGAAGGCTTTGGAGACGTCACTCTTTTCGTCTTTCAGCATACCCAGAAGAGGCTGCTCAGAGACAACTCTGTCCTCTGCACAAATATGTCTATCTATGGAACCGGAAGCAATGCTTTTGAGAACTCCTAATGAGCACGTGGATGATGGACTCTTTGCTGGTTGTGGACTCCCAGTGGGGTTCTGAATAACCCTTCGATGATAATTTCTGAAAGCTTTTTCCAAGCGTTCAGCCTCTTGCTCTAGCTCTCTTACCTTGGCCTTAGTATTGGCTACAAACTCAATATCAGAGTCTGGGGAACTCGCCTCTGTCGCTGCATTTGTATAGGATGGAATCCTTGACATAACTGCACTTGCCATATCCCTGTTCTGTTCAAGGGGCATGTTCAAGAAATCCCCACTTGTATCACCACTGTGAGGCACCATCTTGCCAGTCCCTAGGCCACTCAGGGAATGCAGGGTCAGAGACTGCTTTGGATTGCGGAACACTTCATTCTCTAGGGCTGCAGGTCACAAAAAGAAAGTGAGAAATGAGGAGAAAAAACAATGAATAAAATTAAATTGTACCTAAGAATATTTTTAAAGTAAATAAGAACAAGCTTGCACATTAAACAGTTCCTGAAGTCATAGTAATAACTATTAACATTTATTGAGAACGAACTTCATATATCTATATTTTATAATACATGATATAATTTCATAATCTATTACACATGAATTTCAAATTCCCAAAACACTGAGCAGTCCAAATTTATTTATAAACTTCGTACAAAGTCTATCCATACCTGAATTCAATTGGCTGGAAAGTTCAGCTTGAACTGAGCAAACCCATTTAATCTTTATTCCAACTAGCATGAATGCTCAGACATTTGACTACAGCATAGCGTGTTTGACTACAAGATACAGCACTGTATCTTTCAGGTCTGTGTCAGATAAGGGAATGAGTACTGCAGGCCAGGAACTCTCACTGCTCGTTCTAAGACAGGGGATGGAGGCTTTCTGAGGCTGGGTCACATTGCCAGCAATTCCTAGAGTTGCTGGCATTTTCTAGCACAGAACCAGCACCTACGCTGCCTCCCCTTGCTATAAGACAAATGTGCAACAGGTTGTGTGGCACGCAAGAGGGCCCTGGGTTCACTGAACGGCTTTTCATGTTACAAGACTGCTATCATTTCAGGGGTAGACAGTCTGGAAAACAACTGTGAGGAGAATATGCAGAATCGTCAAGAGTTTAGAAATGAGCAAAGGTGGAAGGAACAGAGGACTGATGAAGAAAGTGTTCAAGTGGGAACGGGGCAAAGCTTAGATCAAGGAAGAATGAAAAATAAGCTGAACACAACTGAGGAAGGACCCAAGCTTCACGACTCCCTGTGAAGTAGGAGGCAGCAGAGATGCATCCACAGTGAAGGCTGAGGAATGACCCACCAGCAGTAACTAGTTCCTGGGTGGCTTCCAGGTACTAACTCAGGACCTATGACCCATCCATTCCATTTGTTCACTGCGACCCAGTAGGTAGAATTATCCCCCCATGCAAATGAGGAACTTGGGGAATTTCAAGTGTTATGCCCAAAGTCAAAAACTTCAAAAGTGGACTCCAAAATAAAATAGGTCTGACTCTGAAAGTGGCATTTCTGGTACGAAGCCACCCTGCTTCGCTCATGTATTTATATACAGGTCTGTTAAGGAATACATAAATATACAGAAAGCCTATTAGTCTTATCATCAGGGCCACAAAAAAAGAAAACATAAGATGAAGGTGGGGAGCAATGAGATGGCTCAGCAGGTAAAGGTACTTGCCACTAAGCCTCACAACCTGAGTTCAATCTCAGGGACCCACATGGTGGAAGGAGAGTCCCAACTCCTGGAAGTTGTCCTCTGACTTTCATACGCACACCACGGTATGTGTATACACAGGAACAATAAACAAATGTAATAAAACATGTAAAGACGAATCTGGGAACTTTTGTGTCATCACCACACCTGTTGTGTGTGGGGTACCTGTGAAGATAAGCAAATCACTTTGACTGATGACCCAGTTGGTATTCCTCAGGTAGGAGTTTTTACTTCTAGGATGATGCCTGTTTCTATGGCTTTGCCCAATACAAGCATTACTCAGTGCTCAACACATTAATAGTCATTACATTTCCACAATATCTGATGCTTTCTTTTACTTATTTACACTGTAAGACACAGACACACAGTCACAGACACACAGACAGATAGTCACAGACACACACAAACACACATTTACAGGTTTAAAAAGTGTCTTGGGGGGCTGGAGAGATGGCTCAGCAGTTAAGAATACTGACTCTTCCAGAAGAAGAGCCGGGTTCAATTCCCAGCACCCACATGGCAGCTAACAACTGTCTGTAACTGCAGTTCCAGGGAATCTGACAGTCTCTCCTGTCCCCTGAGGGCATTGCACAACACGGCTGCACTTACCTACATGCAGGTAATACACGGACACACGTAAAATCAAAATAATAAATTTTAAAAAATATTTTTTAAAAAGTCTCTTGGAGCCAGGGAGGAGGCTCAGAAGTAAACAGTGAGTGCCATACAAGCCTGACGGCCTGAGTTCAGTCCGTGAATGCACATAAAAAAGAACCATGTGCCCACTGGTGAAATAGTGGCAAGACTACTTATGGGAGTAACCGACTGCTCTCTTGATTGGATCTGAAGACTGCTGTAAAGAAGGCAATGCATGCCTGCTACTATAAACATGATCCAAACCCAAGGATGGGAACGTCATAGGCCCAAGGGGGGAACCTTTTGATGTTGTTTTGCTAAACTGTTATGTTGTCCAAGTGCCATCAAAACATAAAAGTAAGTTTATGCTGCTCCCAATCTTGGTCAAAGAAGCTTCTGACTGCAGTGGGCAGTGGTATGCAGAGACTCATAACTGTCCAAAATGCGGAGAATAAGCAATTGTGAGTACCGAACAATGGAAGGCACGTCTGTATTAACACCTCCCTCGGGCTCAGGGAATGTCTTATGAGAGGGGCAGAAAGAATGTAAGAGCTGGAAGATAAGGACGGGTGCTGTGAAATGCTATCCTCTGGACACGGCATGACTGGTGCACACATTAACTCACAGTGGCTGTAGTTACGTATACAAGACTGCACCAGATCAAGAAAGTTAAAAACTTCAGCAAGGAGGGGGAAAGGACTCTGGAGGCCCCACTCACAGCTGAGGGGCTACTGGTAGTTGACAGCTGCTGGTGAAGTTACTTGTTTTGGAGGGGCTGGCCACTGGCAGGTTGCCCATTCCCTAGTGGATGACCTCACACCCATGTACATATGGGAAGGCACTGATTGGACTCAGTGGAATATTTTTTTTTTTAGAAAAAAGGAAGTGTACATGAAGCTGGAAGGGAAAAGCCAAAGGGAGGGAACAGGGCGTGGATGCACTGTATAAATCTACAAAATTTCCAAAGAATTAAAAAAGGAAAAAGAGCTGGATACGGTATGTGTCTGTAATCCTAGCACTCCTACAATGAGATGGGAGATGGAGAGAGGACAATAGGCTGGAGGTTCACATGTCCACTTGCCTGGGGTAAGCAATGCAGCGACAGAAACAAGAGAGACCCTGCCTCAGCAAGGTGGAAGCAGAGAGCCAAGCTCTGAACAGGTGTCCTCTGACTTCTACCACGTGGCCCAGTGGCCCGGTGTACACACGTGTACACACACACACACACAAATGAATGAATAAAGTCTAACCTGTCTGAGTGTGTTTTAGTTGTGATTTTATATCAGCAACCTCAGTGGTTAGCCTTTTTACAGAAGTATCATATTCTAATATCTGGGCCTTTAGCTGTGTAGAATGTTTAATCTGAAAAAGATTCAGAGAAGAAAAAGAAACCAATATAGAATAATGATAACTTGTTTCAAAAAGAACAATTCTCTTGTACTTATATTCTTTTTGATTGCCAATTCTAAGAAGCTTTACACCAGCAATCCTGGATCTCTAGAGAATGCAATAACAGAGAGGACGCATGAACAAGTTCTTCGCACCTTTTCCATTAATGCCCAAGAAGAGCTATTCTATGCATGCAGACAGAAATCAGACAGAGTGACGTGTGTAAGTGGCAGGCAGAAACCAAGACTTGCACTGGGAACTTCCAGGCCTGCTAAAAAGTTTAAGTCTGCATGAATTTGCCTTCTATTCAGAGCTATTACCAATTAGGACTATAAACTTGGAATGGCCAGACAATGTTCTCAGCTGAGAAAGGCTCCTTTTACATACTGTGGGGGAGAAGTAATTTTTGGTATTAAAATCAGCCTCATACGTGCTGATGTGACGGGTGCCAAGTTTCCGTACACAGTGGACTGACATGACACCTGCAAGGGTGAAGAACAGTGCTCACTTCGCTTTGCAGCTGTTTTTGTAGAGCTTGCTTATGAACTTCAAACTCCTTGTGTCCAAGTGCTAGAGCATTTTCTGCTTTCTGTAACTCTTTGTGAAAAGCCAAAAGCTCAGGAGGTGGCTGAGTTATACCTACGAAGGTTTAAAAAAGAGAGAAAATTCTAGTCACTATCAATCTCAAATTTGCTTATTTCACTTCCAAAAAAGCTGCTAAAGAGATTTAAAATAGTTTCCTGGCTTTGTGTATGCAATATGCCCAGTAATATTCTGTCATGCAAAGTTGCCATGCAAGTAATATTCTATCAGTTCTATTAAATGGCCCAACAGCAAGCTTGATTCACAGGTTTCAGAATAAGAGAATTTAATGCATGTTAATATAAATATATTCCTCTGGGAGCCCCTCCAACTTAAACAATTCTTTCAAATCCTCCAATTAACTCAAAAGCCCATCTCTGTCCTCTACCACACACAGAGGGTATAGATGTACCTTTCTACCTCTCGGTGCCTGTCCTGGTCATGTCTCATCTGAACAGCAGTCAGTGGAAGTTAGGCTCCAGAAATAACGCAGATGGTACCTTCAATTTTAGTCACCTGAGGGCCCATTAATGAAGTGTGCCTTATGCTGGGTGAGCACAAAGGATGCTGTAGTAGAAACATGGCCACACTAGCAGCCCTCCTTGGGACTAGGGATTTAGATGGAAAAGTTCCCAGATGTGGAATGAGTGGGCAAGAAACAGCACTGGTGAGAGGGACTATAATCACTTATGATCACTAGTGGCTAAGAGGCGCAGTGGGCAGGCAGTCCAGGGTCGTAGTACATGGAGGTTGGGTTAGGAGTGGAGAGAACTATAATTTCGAGCATCTCTCCTTGCCTTGCTCCAAGTGCTCACTGGCCCAAGTGAGGCAGCATACAGATGGTGTGAACCCTGATGCCACCCACAGAGGCGTTCTTACAAATATGCCTTAAAATGATACTGCTACTTATGAAGTAGCAAACAAAAAGGAAATAACTCCAATGTGTGGATCTTCTCTAAGATCTTCCCAATGTAAGCCTCCCTTGCAGGTAAAAGTAGTTTTATAATCCCGACCTAATTTAAGTTATAGAAACATGTAGATCAGAAAAAAAGACATACGGTCTAGGAGACGTAAGTTTTCATTTCTCGTCTCTTCCAGTTGCTTTTTAAGTAATTTATTTTGTGTCTGAAGCTCCACTTTGTCTTCTTTCAGTAGACAGTAATCACTCATCTCATTCACCTTTTCATTCAGCAAGTGGTTTTGTTTGGACATTGCCAAAAACTGTACTTTGACAGACTCTAGCTCCAGCTAAAATTGAAAAGGAAAAACTTCTGTCTGAATAATGATTTCATGGCACTGCCAAAGTAAAAGCTAGAACACTGCCTTAATGAGGCAGGACTCAATAACATTTACATATGGTAGCAAGACAGTTTTTTAAAACTCCAAGTAGATAAGGTGGAAACAATCTATAACCCACTGTGAGGTGCTTTCCTTTTCCTAGTCTAACAGATCATGTATCTGGGTATGGAAGCCTACACATCTCAAGTCATCATGGCTATGAAAGTCAATTTCATATATAAAATCTACTTTAGCTACCTAAAGTTCCAGTTTTGTCCTCAGACAACAAGCACAGCACTGCAGTACCATAACAGTGGTGAGTAAAAAATTCACTTCACTGTGTCTAAATTTGTAAGATAATGATACAGATAGGATTTTTCCTTTTAGAGTGGTTCTCACTATGTAGCCCTGGCTGACCTGGACCTTAATATGTAGAGACGAGGATGGCTTCAAACTTAGAGATCCACCTGCCTCTACCTCCTGAGCACTACGATTAAAGGCATGTGCCACCACATCCGGTCCCCTCTAATAATTTTTACCTGCTGATGATGGAACAGAAGAGGCTGAGGTAGAAACTATTATATACTGGCTATCTTTTATGGGGTAATTCACCCAATTCCCTCAACAAGCATGCACTGTTAGAAATATCCCCAAGTTTCCAGGTCACAGAACTTGTCTAAAGGCACATAGCAGTAAGAGACGGAGACAGGATTTGAGCAGGACTCTAGGATATAAGCTCCTTTCTTAGATCCCTATGTGCCTTTCTACTGAATTAACTTCATTCATCACTTTCTCTTTTTTTGTCTTTTTGAGACAGGATCTCCCTGTAGCCCCAGCTGGCCTGAACTCACTATATAGACCAGGCAGGCCTGGAACTCTGAGATCCACGTGCCTGCTGTGATTAAAGGCGTGTGCCACCATGCCCGGCTTAGCTTTCTTAATCATAGAATCATCAGTTCAAGTGAATTAAAATGTTGATGTAAGATAACTTCTGTATAGCTAACATACACACACACACACACACACACACACACACACACACACACACAAAATCAACATACAACAGAGTTTCACCTTTAATCTCAGCATTTGGGAGATAAGAGGCAGGTGAGGCCAGCCTGGTCTACATAGCAAGTTCCAGGCCAGTTGGGGCTATAGGGAGACCCTGTCTCAAAAAAGACCAAAATAAATAAATAAATAAATAAACTACATCTTCATCTCAGTTTTTATTTGTTATTTATTGAGACAAGATCTTGCTGTATAGTCCCAGTTGGCATTGAACTCAAGATCCTCCTGCCTCAGTCTCCTGAGTGCTGAATCACAGGTGTAAACCACTGTGCTGACTGGAGTCTTCCTACAGTGTTACACAGTGTACAAAGCACAGCCGGACACCACGTAGTGATGGTTGAATTAAGAGTCCTTTAATAGGCTGGGTGTGGTAGTGCATGCCTTTAATCTCAGCACTCAGGAGGCAGAGGCAGGCGGATCTCTGTGAGTTCGAGGCCAGCCTGGTCTCCATAGTGAATCCAGGACAGCTGGGGCTACAGGGTGTACGCATCAAAACTGAAGTTGGTAAATAAGAAATAAGCTGTATTACCCAATGGATAACGTGAAGGTATAGCTGTCATATATGTGGTGAAATTCCTGCTACATGCTAACCAGTTATTCCATCTGGGAAGGGCATGGGGCCTTAATGCTGACAGCCCCTATTTTCCTTAAAAACAAGGATTTGTCTGGTTCCCTTTTATAGATTTTCCTTCCTATAACACAAGTTCATGCAGATACATTATCAGAAGAAAATTGACTAAACCTAAACACCTGATTGCACCACACCAGAAGAGATGCATCTGCTTCCGTGAGACAGTGAGAAAAGGAGCAGTCATGCATTTGCTGTCTAGTCAAAAGCAAGCAACCAGCTGCAACGGACTCCCAAGACTGTTTGAATTTCCAAAGTTCATATTCTTTCATTGTCATTTTCCTACAAATACATTGATATGTAAAAGACCTGAAAATTGAAAAATCATTCAGCTTCCATAGTCTCAGGTCAAGATATGAGAGCTTAGAAAGTCTATATAAGAAAAACTATGAAACGGGCTCACAGAGGACAGAGGGGACAGAGAAAATATTCTACAAATTGGAACTAAAGTGTCAGAGCTAAAAGTAATATCTGCCAGAAGACAATGCGTTTTGGCTATTGTATACATGAAAAATGTCAAACATGAAGGTTTCCATAAAGGTGAAGACAAATTTGTTTTTATTTTGTAAAATTAAAATTATAAACAATGTACTCTGTAGCAAAAACGAAGCAAAGGCTAGTATGTAAAGGCACTAGCCACCAACTCTGACAACCTAACTTCAACCATCAGGACCCACATGGGGGAAGAAAAGAACCAACTCTAAATTGTCCACAGACCTCTACATGCATCATGTAATACCACATGTGCCCCCCATAAATAAATACACAAATAAGTGTTTTTAAAAAGTGAAAGCCATACTGTTTTAAGAATATAGATTCTTAAATCTATAAGATCTTTAAGATCTAACTTAGGGTGCTAAATAACCCTTATCAGAACTTAAAAATTGGGTAGCCACCCCATCACCTGTATTCTTCCTTTCATCTTCCAGCAGTTTATTCGTTCTAGCAATGTAGTCATCCTTCAGTTCCAGCTGGTACCTGAGAATCAGAATGACTAAAATGAGGTCTTTGCAATCTTCCTGGAAAGACCACAAACAACGCAGGAGCTTATCTGTGGCCCTTTGTACCTAAAGGCACCAAGAGAGCAGAAAGGAATCTTCAAAAATCTCAACTCCAAAGCCAGGGATTCAAATCCTGAACATTAACGGGTCAATCAAACCCTGATTCAATCACACAAAATGAATGGTGTTATCATGGGGTTACTGAAAGCAATTATTTCTCCCATGATCTTGCCTGGCTCACAAATGCATTAAAGGTAAATGAAGCTAAACTCACCTAGCACACAATAGATTCCATGTCCCCAATGATAGCAAGGCAGTCACTTCTAAGCTGCCTGCGCCATCTCCCCAACCACAACACAAACCCCGACCCAGATGAGAGTTTTTGTTCTTAGGATTTAAGTATAATTGAGCCTTCTGTCAATGGTATTACGTCTGGATCAGCAATACCCAAAGGTCTTTCCAAGAACTTTTATTTGTCTTTCCCAGCTGCTACACTTGGGAAAAAGGAAAGACAAACTTTCCTGTTGGTGAACATCCTTCAAACCTCCACACTTGCTGAAACCATAGGCAAATCTTACAGGAGGTTGTGATGCACAAAACGTACTACTGCCACTGAGAAAGGTTATTGTACAGTTGTAATGTCCTTGCCCCGGAATTCTAGTCACTGGCACCAAAACTAAAAACTGCAGAAAAGCCAAAGTAGCTGGGTGTGGTGTCACATGCCTACTTCCACTGCATTTGGGAGCCTGAGGCAGGAGAATCTTGAATTTCAGGTCAGCCTGGGCTATATAGAAAGAACATGGAAGGGAGGGAAAGAGGGAGGCCAGAAAACAAAAGCTGCCATTTTCCTTCCCCTCTATGGTTTTCTACTTCATACAGTTCACTTTGGTTCATTCCTTTTGCTCTGCTTTGCAGAATCTTGAGGGAATATAAAGCAATGTGTATGATCAAATTCTACCTTAAGGAAGTGATAAATTGTTATAAGTCTCCATCTCGGTGGCAGGATGAGTGCAGTCAAAGATGACAGAAAGTGAGTATAATTCTAGCCTTACAGCTGATCAGTTACATAAGCTTAACAGGCCACATGGTACCCAGAAGTTAAAGGGAAAATGCAATATATGCATACATATATCAGATTAAAGGAAATCACAGGCTTTTGAGGCCAGAAGAGCAATGGGTAGGGAGAGCAGTGGATGTAATTATTCTGTATGCTTTAAAAACCATCCTAACTCATATTCACCAGACAGGTCTGATTTAGAAAAGAAAATAGGTGTTTCTTCAAACACTAAACTTTGTCATCAAAATGCTAGCTTTATCTACTTAGCCAGTTTCAGTGACATTTCTACAACTTAATTCAAGCATATTACTTCTTTCAAAATGTCAAGCATTTACTTTAGAAGTTCAGTTTTGAGCTTTTGATCATAGGTCTCTTCAATGCTCTTTAGATTCTGCTCCCGTTTCCTAAGTGCTTCGGTAGCGCTTTTATTGTTTTCTTCTTGGAGCTTCTGTGTCCTGCAATTAATATAAACATATAAAGCAAATGAAGTACACATCTGATGTAATAAATTTGAAGAAAAAAAATAAGTTTGTAGGACAGCAGACTAGAACTTAGGCGACTATCGGTAACAGGAAGGGAGAGAGCCAGAAGTCTTCCCTATACTTAACAAACTGGAGTAGATCTGAACCAGGGAGGGCTGGACACCTGGGGCAAACTAGTTGGGTGTTATATATGGCTCAGTCAGTATAGGTACTTGCCACCAAGCCTGATGACCTGAGTTCAATTCCTGGAACCCACATGGTGGAAGGAGAGAACTCTCACAAACTGTCCTCTGACCTCCACATGTGTGGAGTGGCATATGCGTACCTGGCCCAAATGAACAGATGTAATTTTAAAATTAGCAAGAACAACAACAAAAGAACAAGACTGGTTACATGGAGAGCATGGTATCCCATACTTTAATCCAAGCACTACGGAAACAAAAGGATCACTGCAAATTCAAGGCCAGCATGGTCTACATAGTGACCTGCAGGTCAGCCAGAACTAAAAGACTAAGAACTTGTCCAAAAGAAACCAAACCAAATCAAAGCAATAATCTGGTTATAGATGGTAAGTGGTCATAATCACTTTAGGGGTGAAGAACGATGTTCTAAAGTCACAAACCAAGTTACCTTACTAGGTATCTGTTTCTTTTATAACACTGTTCATAACTATAGGGTCTAATTCACTAGTCCATCGATATGCAAGGTAGGTTTGCTTTCAGCATTAATTTATTGACTAGATATTGAAAAAGGAGGGCAGAGGGAAATCATGTCCTTGCTATATATTTACTGAACAAGGACTTCCTAGTGAGACTAAATCAGGAAGACTACCACATCTCCAGCCCAGTTGTCAGGTTCCCAGGTGCCACTGAAAGTAAGCCATTCTGAACTCTACCCAATACCAGTCCAAGATCACAGAAAGAGACAGGGGAGGGAGGAATATGATCAAAAACATACTGTACGAAATTCTTAAATTAAAAACACCACAGTAAAGGTTCCAGGTATCAGCACCAGCACCCTCTGCTGGCTAACCTGGAAAGGCATGGAAGGGCTGAGCAGGAGTGGCAGTAAAGAGAGTTAGGGAGAGAAGATAGAAAAGAACTCAGCCTACAGAGGTGAGAAAACACCAATGGAGAAAATGTCTTTAATGCACTCAGATTCCTGAGTGTCTACGAGTGAGTGTTCACACTGATTCTCCACTGGGAGAGGTCCTATGCACAAACTACAGATGGGAGCACTGGCTAGCAGTCCCAGGTGAGAACTGAAGAATGAAGCACTGTGAGCACCTAGAAAAATGGGAGAAGCACCCACACCATGAGAAATAGTTCCATTCTAGTCAAGTCAAGCCAGAACATCATACCTCCTTTCAGGAGTACAAAGCACGTAAATACAGCAGGCCCGGATGTCTAGAGTTCAGCTACGTCAAGAGACCACTGGGTCTGATGGACTGAAAGTAGCTGCAAAGTGCAAGACTGGGTGAAGTATTAGGAGCACCTCCTAGCTGTCTGGCCTTAAGGACGTCGGACAGGAGTATTTTGTTCTGGTTTTCAACTTAACACCTAAGAGTTTATGAGGAAAACTCAGGCTTTTTTTGTTTTTCCTCACATAGTACCTTCTAAAGCAGTTTAATATCACCTTTATAGTCAAGAACTCTATTTGGCAGTTTTTCTTGTTTCTGTTTTCTTTTTAGACAGGTCCTAATACCATGAGAAACAGTTCCTTCTATGACAATTCACACCCCATTATATTTCTTCTTTTGAGTGCAGAGCAGGTAAATGTAAGTGGCCAGATATCTAGGCTAGACGAGGACTCACCATGCAGCTCAGGCTGATTTCAAAAGCATGGAAATCATCCTGCACCATCTTCTAAGTACTACAACTACAGGCATATACCACCACATCAGGCTTCAACTGGGCTGGGGAGATGATTCTGTGAATGAAGTGCTTGTTATGCAAGCATGGGGATGTGACTTTAGATCCCTTACACTCACTTATGTGGTGAGCCATGCGTGGTGGTCTGCATCTGTACCCCTGCACTGAGATGTGGGAGACTGTAGAGACAGGTGGATGCCTGCGGCTTGCCAGCCAGGCAGTCTAACCAATCAATGAGTTCCAGGTCAACTAAAGAGAGGCTCGGTAAAAAATAAGGAGTGAAGACACCCTATGCTGACCTGTAGCCTCCGCAGATGTATGTGCGGATGAACACACGTGGGCACACTTGCAAACACCACATACAGGCAATTTTTTTTAGAAAAGATTAGAATTTTTTGACATCTACTTAAGGCAACATTTTGAACTCATTCTGAGTGTCCAAAGGAGCATGCATTACTTACAATTCAAAAGCTTCAATTCTTTCCTTCAGCTCCGCTTCTCTACCTCTGAGCACATCTATATTGTTAAGTAGGAGCTGCCTCTGAGCATAAATTTCCTTCATTTCAATCTGCATAGGAGGCCAATGGGGGAAGGGGGTGTAAAGATGATTAAGATGTTCTGTATGAAATACACAAAAATTCAATTAAAATTTTTTCTTTCATTTCAATCTGCATAGGAAAGCTTTCATTTTTAGCAAGCAAGCAAAGGAAAATAAAACATTGGAACTCAGGCTGCTTCCTAAATTCTAGGAAACAAAGTTACAGATATTTAGGGTAATTTTCCTTAAAGAGATTTCAATTCAGAATAAGCTTGTTAAGTCTATTGTGGTTGCAGAAAAATTTACTTCTTTGGACAAAAGAAAGATTAGTGAATGTTAAACTACATTGCCTTGTATTCCTAACATCCCTAGTGTAGTTCTTTACCATCCCTTACTCCCTTACCTAAACTTTCTATAAGCTCCTCAGCAAGAAAAACTACAAGCATGTACATTCAGTAATGAAACTCCAAAAGAATAGAACCCATGGTGACTGGTGATAGTGGGGTCTGAAAGCTTCAGTTCATGAGTCACTCTGACTCAAAGTTAGGGGCTCACATGAACTCCTGAGTGAATGGGTCATTGCACTATTGAGCCAGGATTTACTAACAACATGAAACAGGTCACACCGAACACTGGGAGCTGAAAAGGTCCTCATCTTTAAGGACCTTACAATCACAAGTAGGCTGTAATAATTTCATAACTGAAGTACATAAAGGCCACACACAGGAAAGGCACCTGAATAAGTAAGTCACTCAGTGAGTCAGGGAAGAAGTCACTGAGGTAACGGTCAAGCTCAATCTTTGAAGGACTGTACACCCTTATCAGGGAGAGACATGGACAGGCATCAAGGTGAAGGAATAAAGGCATGGCATGTCTGATGAGGATGACAATCTTCAATGCTTTCAGGCAATATTAACTTAATAGTAAAACTAAATCAAGATCTAGTCAGTCACCTATCTTGGAGATAAATTTTGTTAGTCTAAACATAATCCAATATACAAAATATGTATGCTTATTTTCATAAGTGAAATAAGCCCATTTCCCAGATACGGTAGACACAACAGTAGAGGAGGCCCATTTAATGATGGTAACAAGGTCTAAATCCTGGCTCAGTGATGCGATGGCCCATTCACGGAGTTCGTATGAGCCCACTACCTGAGAAGCCATGAGCAAAGGCGAACACTAGGAGGAAGTCTCTTACTTTGAGCACATTACAGAGCAGCTCTGGATACACACTGGAAGGAGTGCTGCAAGCCCAGTTTGGCTTAAGACACCCTGTTAGAAAATGAACACGTTTTCCTGAAGGAGCAGATCTCAGCCTGAAACCTGACTCGGCAACTCTGAACACTTCTGCATTCTGACAGTTTCTCAGGCTCTAGTCCCACATCACTTGGAGACAAGCATGTAGCCCTCTCATCTCCCCAAGGAAAGGAGCTTCCCTCCTCTGGTTCTCACTGCTCTCTTCATACCCATTCAGTTTTGTAGGCTGCCTTTCTCCCATGTATTAAGCTTGGCAAACAAAGCACCATTCATCAACCACCTCTACCTTTCTGCCCTCACAGGAAGGGGAGATAGGTGCTCACAAATTATCGATCCTCTCCAGAGCTAGAACAGAAACCTCCCCTCCAATCACGGGGTTTGTTCTCCCACTTCCAGGCTCTGGACTCAGTCAAGTGTCAGTAACAGTCCTCTGTGCTTTAAAGAGCTACCCTCCCTCACCCACAACAGCTGTGTACCCAGGCCTCTCCTGAAACCACTCTCTCTCCAATCTACCTGCAAATATGAAGTTGGTGTGCTGAGCGTCCCCTAATCCCACTGTGGCCGTTCAACCCTCCCCCCACCCCACTCCACCAGTTCTTTCTTTTCCACTGTCGCAGAGGAAAGGTCTATGGAGGCTCATCAGAGCTCACCCTTCTCTGTTTACTCTTGACCCCAGTTCCGACTGCTCCTCTAGGGCCTTGTTCCAAAAACTATCTTCCTTTCTGGATCGCGAACCCACCTATGAGCAGCTACAGAAAACAGCCAGTCAGCAGTATTTTCAGACAGTACCTCTCGGTGCTTTTTAATTCTTTCAAGAGTATTCTTTTCCTGAGAAAGGAGGGCTTCGGTCTTTGCTTGACAAGTTCTCTCAAATTCACTCCGGAACTCAGCCAATTCTTGTTCATATTTCTTTTTCTCTTCCATCTTAATTTTGGCTATTTCACTTTCTCTAAAAACCTTTAACTATGAAATGATCATAAAAAGTTACTATGCTAAGGAAATAGAAATCAATTCTCTCTTCCTGTTAGGTTTAATAACAATGCTCTGTTCAAATGAATCTTATTTGATTTGACTCATCTTCAGTTTTATCTCATTAACTGTCCTGTAGGATTCAGTGAAAAGGCATGAACAAATAATCTCAATGGAAATAACAATACGCATAGTAGTACAGTATCCCATTCTTTAATAAAAAGTTCTAGATATTTCCCCACATACCTAAGATTAAGACAGTAGAAAACAAGTCAAAGCATCCCTTCATGAATAGCATCAAGAGATACAGCTTACCTTTTGACACATTTCTATGTGAAGTTGCTGCTTTATTTCTTTCCTATATTCATTTAACTTTGTCTCTAAAGATTTTAGCTTGCAGCGCTGAGGATAAGTATCCGCAAACTGGTCATCAATAAGCTGAAACTTCTCAGCTATTAAAAAATAACAGCAAATTAGGAAATACAAACTCAATTCAAGACAGGCATGCAAGAGGCCCAAGGAGAGTATACTAAAAGTGCAGAGATGTTTGCCATTGACTTTGAAATACAACCTAAAATTGAGATGGATAAATGGACAGATAACTGACCAACAATCATGAATTCACTGTGGAATCTATCTAGGCAAATATTCACTATAACACTACTGCAACTGTTCTGTGCATTTGAAAATATTGATAATAAATGTTATGGGGAGGGGGAACAAATGCAAACCAATCTCTTCTCAGTTTCCAAGTGGCAAGGCAGAGAGCTTTGATTGGATTAAATTAAAGTTAACATGCATGTTCATAATAAAGACTTTAAATAAAAGTCTTGACTTTACAAATAAGGAACAAATGGCCAGAGTTTGAGTGACGTCCAGAGGCTTAAGCAACTACAGTCTAAAAACTGGGCCTAAAGCGGGGCCTACTGACTTTCTCATGCTAGAGCTCTTTCCAGGAGGCCCATGGGCCTCAAACCAACTACAGAGTAAAATCGGTGATTGAGTAGAGGGCGAACCTGAACATAGGGTACAATCCCGTGTACAACACTCCACTGCAAAACACCATGCATGAAAGGAAGGGGCTAGCAGAGTAGAATAAAATAGCCAGTGTTAAAAAATAAATAAATAAATACATAAATAAATAAAATAATAAAAAAAAATAGCCAATGTTGTAGTAGGCAGAACTGTGAGCAGGTCTTCTCAGCTACTTCACTGTATTTACCAAATGACCCAAACTGGACAGTATGACAGAACTTTCTAGTCACATGTGGCCACTGAGTACTTGAAATGTGACCAATCTCAGTTGAGATGTGCTCTAAATGTAAAGAATATAGCAGATTTCCAAACATCAGTACAAAAATGTATGTGAAATATCTCATTAATATTTAATATACTGAGTACATGTTGAAATACTTTGGGATTAAATACATTCTTAACAAAATACAGGATTAAAATGAGTTTCACTTCCTTCTTTTTATCTTTTTAAACGAAGCTACTAGAAAAGTTAAATTATATATGTAGCTTGCATTACTGGAAAGCACTCCTTTGTAATAAACATTTCATATGCTGCTAATGGAATTAAAACTATACTTAATTAAGGGCCTAGTCATAAAATACAGCTTTTCCAAATGATAAATTTCTTATCTTCCTACAAGTTAAAGGCACTACAATCAAGTAAGGATGAATCAAGACCTCAATTAAGCACATCAGTTTAAATAGCTGTTTTCCATCTCTATTGGTACAAAACCAGAGTAAGATGATACTCTTTGTAAAGAGTGTAGAGTGCAAAGAGAAGGTGTAGAGTGCAAAATTCTCTAGTTCATTACCAAAGGCCTTGACTTTACTCAGATTAGATGGTTCCAAGTTGCTTTCCCTCTGAGGGCCTCAGTTTCCCCAACTATAAAGTGAAGTGATGGGCCAATGACTTCTCTAACTCTTGAAAAACAAACATTCTGCAACGTTTTAATTTAATGGCTGCAAAATAAAGTTAAAATCTCTACAAGTAAGGAAGAATGTGGGTCTCTGCGATCTCTGCATGACTGGCCAGTGCAGTCCTGGCATTCAGAAGGACAGCAAATGGACACTGAAGAGCAAGTCCCGGTCCCTCCAGCAACACGATTCCAGAAGAAATGAACTACCTTATCGCCTACAGGTAGCATCATTCTAGTCAAGGAACAAAGAATCACATGGCAGAGGCAGGCCTCTGGTCTACATAGTGAGTTCCAGGTCAGCTGGAGCAATAGGGAGACCCTGTTCTCTTCACCCCCAAAACAAAAACAAAAACAAAAACAAAAACAAAGCCAAGGGACATGGCACCCATCTTCAATGCTAGCATACAGGAGGGCAGGGATAGGAGAATCAGCCTGGTCTACACAGTGAATTCTAATTCATCCAGGAACATACAGTGAGACCTTTATGTAAAAAAAAAAAAAATGCTCGCTCCAACCTGCAGGCCTTTCTCTCCAGGGCCAACCCAGCTCTTCAGTGCAATCCCCAGGAGCCGCTTCCCACATCCATCTTCCTTTGCATCTACACCAGCATCTTTCCTGGGCTTGGCTCCCAGGCCAGTCCAACCCCTAAATTCCTGAGGCCAAAATCTTTCCTGGAGGGATCCAGACCTTAGGAGAAAGCCTGAAAGCATCTGATCTTCATCTGACCTGGGACACTGTGGAAACTCCTGAAGAAAAAAGCAATCTGGCCACTCCAATATAAAATCAAGAGAGAACTGGAATCTTGGAGGAAGCAGCTTTCATGCCCCAAAAGTAAACCACAAAGACACATAAACTTCACAAAAAGAAGCAGAGCTAAACTTAAAGGCTTGAGTCTAACATGAAAATCAGAAACTACAAAAGAAATTCACATGTCAAAATCACAGAGAAAAAATAACATGAAAAATCAAAATAACATATAACATATCAATACCAGTAGTCCTCTAGAGGAGACCCCCTAGAGATAATGCAGAACATGGAACTGAAAAGAACAATTATAAACATGATAAAAGAATTCAGTGAATTTAAAGAACACACAAACAGAGAAATCAAAGAACTGAAGGAAGATAGGGATAAACTTCTGAATGAATTCAGAAAAGAGCTAGAAATACTGAAGAATACTCAGGATGAAATGAATAAGGAAGTGAAACACTGAGTAAGCCAATTAGAAACGACAGAACAAAACCTCACCAATAGGATGAACGAGATGGAAAACAGAGTATCAAGACTGGAAGATAAAGTGGACGAACTAGACCACTCAAGGAAAGATTATGAAAAATTTAAGAAATCACAAGAATGAAATATGGAGGAATTTTGTGACACCATAAAGAGCACAAACTTATGAATCATAGGCATACAGGAAGGAGAAGAATCCCAAGACAATGGCATGGACCAGATCTTCAACAGAATAGTGGAAGAAAACTTCCCAAAGCTAAAGAAAGACATGCCCATACAAATACAAGAAGCATACAGAACACCAAACAGACAGGACCAGAAAAGAAACTCTCCACGGCAAATCATAGCAAAAATGCTAAACGTACAAAACAAAGAGACAATACTGAAAGCTGCAAAAGAGAAACAACAAGTCACATATAAAGGAAAACCCATTAGAATTACAGACAACTTTTCAGTGCAAACTATGAGAGCTAGAAGCGCCTGGCCCAAAGCAGTCCCAGTTTTAAATGGCCACAGATGCCAACCGAGGTTACTATACCCAGCAAAAATGTCTATTACAGTCGAAGGAGAAAGAAAAATCTTCCATGACATAAATAGGCTGAAGGAATTCATGTCCACACAACCAGCCCTTCAGAGAGTTCTGGGAGCTATACAAAGAGCTGAAGAAAGGAATGACTATACCCAAGGGTTGTGGAAAGAAATTCAATGAAGGTATAACTATGAAAAAGCACAGCTACATCAAGAATGTGAACAAAAATAAAAATGACAGGATTCAATACTCATCTTTCATTAGTAACTTTAAATACGAACGGACTGAACTCCCCAGTCAAAAGACACAACTAGGTGAATGGATTAAGAAACAAAACCCATCTTTTTGTTGTCTGCAAGAAACTCTTTTCACTTCCAAGGACAGGCACTATCTTAAAGTGAAAGGATGGAAAAAATATACCAAGCAAATGGTACTAAGAAAAAAGCGGGTGTACCAATATTAGTATCTGACAAAATAGACTTTAAACTAAAACTAATCAGAAGGGATAAAGAGGGCCACTTCATTCTGATTGAAGGAACAATAAATCAAGAAGATATTACAATCATGAACATATATTCACCAAACTCTGGTGCACCCAACTTCATAAAAGCAATACTACAAGAATTTAAGACCCAGATTAATCCCAGCTCATTAATAGTAGGTGACTTCAATATCACACTGTCTCCATTTGATAGGTCAACAAAGCAGAGAGTTAACAGAGAGACATCTGAATTAAACAATACCATATATCAAATGGACTTAAACAGACATCTACCAAGTATTCCACCCAAGCACCAAAGGACATACTTTCTATTCAGCAGCCCATGGAACGTATTCCAAAATCGACCATTTACTGGGACACAAAACAAACCTCAACAAACACAAAAAGATTTAAACAATTCCATGCATTCTATCAGATCACAATGCAATAAAGCTTACAATCAACATTGGAAGAAGCCCTAATCACCACATGGACACATAGAGATTAAATAACACACTCATGAATGATGAATGGGTCAAAAGAAAAATTAAGAAAGAAATAAAAGTATTCCTGGAACTAAATGAAAAAGACAATACAACACAACAAAACCTCTGGGACATACTGAAATCTGTCCTTAGAGGGAAGATTATAGAGCTAAGTGCCTACATGAATAAATCGGAAAGAACACAAATAAATGACTTAACGTTGCAACTCAAGACACTTGAAAAGCACCAGCAAAGGAAACCCAAAGCCAGCAGACAAGAAGAAATAACAAAAATCAGGGAAGAAATTAATGAAATTTAAACAAAGAAACAAATACA